TCAGTCCTTCCTAGCATCAGGGTCTTTTCCAATGAGTCAGTTCTTCCCATCAGGTGGCCAAAGTATTGGAGTTTCAGCTTCAGCATCAGTCCTTCCAATGAATATTCAGGACTAATTTCCTTTAGGATGGACTAGTTTGGTCTCCTTGCAGTCCAAGGGACTCTCAAGAGTCTTCTCCAACACCACAGTTCAAAAGCATCAGTTCTTTGGCACTCAGTTTTCTTTATAGTTCAACTCTCACATCCATACATGGCTACTAGAAAACCTATAGCTTTGACAAGATGAACCTTTGTCAGCAAAGTAATTTCTCTTCTTTTTAATATGCTGTCTAGGTTGGTCATAGCTTTTCTTCCAAGGAGTAAGCGTCTTTTAATTTCATGGCTGCAGTCACCATCTGCAGTGATTTTGGAGCCCAGGAAAATAAAGTCTGTCACTTTCCATTGTTTCCTCATCTATTTGCCATGAAGTGATGGGACTGGATGCCACAATCTTAGTTTTCTGAATGTTGAGTTTTAAGCCAACATTTTCACTCTTCTCTTTCTCTTTCATCAAGAGGCTCTTTAGTTCTTCTCTATGCACCCTTTAATACCTCATAACTTATTATCATGAATAATTTTCAAGACTAGATCATTGCATGAGTGATGAACACTCCCCTTCCTAACCAGGATTTGGCAGTCAGATGGTGCGTGTTCTGCAGGTGACAGGTATATAGAAGCTATGGGGCTTTGGTTGGGATGATGATACATTGGCATTTATACTTGTTTCCTGGAATTTTTTGGAAAATTTTTATTTATTTACTTTTGGCTGCACTGAGTCTTTGTTGCTGCCCTTGGGCTTTCTCAGGTTGCGGCCAAGAAGGTCTATTCTCTAGTTGTGGTGCCTGGGCTCCTCATTTGTGACAGCTTCTCTTGTTGCGGAGCGCAGGCTCTGGCCATGAGGGCTCAGTAGTTGTGGCGCATGGACTTAGTTGCTCCCTTGCATGTGGGATCCTCCCGCACCAGGGATCGAACCTGTGTCCCCTGCATTGGCAGGCAGACTCCTAACCCCAGGACTACCAGGGAATACCCTGGAAATTTTGCTACAGCTCTTATAGCACGGTTCTTTGGTCCACTGGATGAGTGACTGGTTGTGATGCAGATGGTAGCCAGGCATCTCTGTCGAAGTGGTGTTTTGTCTTCAGGAGGCTATCTCAGGCTTCTTTGTGGGGTGACCTCAGGGTCCCATGATGGCAAGGTTGGGAGCTGTAGGGCCTTTTGAAGCTTTGCTTGCAAGTCAGACAACATTACTTCTGACCTAGTCTGTTAGTCAAAGCAAATTCCAGGACCAGCCTAGATTCAGGAGATGGGGAAATAGACCTCCTCCCCACTTTATGGGAGGAGTGGGCAGCTCCTATTGCAAAGAGATGTTCATGAAAGGGATGGAAGGGCTGCGGCCGCCGTCTTGCACAGAGTGAATGACAGAGTGTGTCAACGTACTTTTCTCATTGTCCACACGAGTGTGTTCAGAATATTGCCTTAGTTGTCATGGGGGAGCTGTTTCAGTCCAGAAGAAAATAATTTCAGGGCCTCAGAGAGTGACTCTCAACATTCCAGAGTGCGATTTTCATCTTCTTTCTTTTCTTTCAGCCAGCACCCAGGGTTCTAGGGCAGCGGCGAAGATGTTTCTCACTCCTCACCCGATTCTCTCTTGCTTTATTTCAGTCTGTGTTTTTTTTTGTTGTTGTTCAGTCTCACATGCAGAGAAGAGTAAACAGTGTGCTTTATCACATCCTATTCCTAGAAACTATCATTCAGGACTCTGTTGTAAAACGGTCATAGATTCTATAGAAATCATAACCAGGGGGGTTGAGTTTTAGCCAAAGTCTCTGTATCAGGTAAATCAAAGATACGACCAGTATCTTAAAATAATGTACCAAAGCTATAAGCCTCTAGAATAACTTTAATAAGGATGTTGTTATCTTGTGAGATGAGAATAAATATGTTATATTTTTATTATAAAAAGAACACCAATTTACCATAAAGTGTATGCATACTGCTTAAAAATATAATTCTACTCTATTGTAAATATTGCTGTTTATATTGGTAGCTATAAAAATCATCCAACGTTTAATTAACAATAATTTTGAGAGTACGTGGATGTTCCTTGCAAACAGCAAAGCATTGTGTATTAATCTCTGTTGTTTTATTGGAATTTACACAAGTTTGTGAATCATAATAATAATGATAGCTAAATCTGTGCTAGGCTCTGCCCTGAATTCTTTGTATTAACTCATTACATCCTCTCAACATGCTACAAAGCAGGTACTGTTTGTTTTAGTTGTTTAGTTGCTAAGTCGTGTCCAACTTTTTACCACTTCATGGATCATAGCCCTGCCAGGCTCCTCTGTCCATGGGAGTCTCCAGGCAAGAATACTGGAGTCATTCCATTCTCCAGGGGATCTTCCAGACCCAGGGATCAAACCCACATCTCCTGCATTGGCAGGCAGATTCTTTACCATTGAACCCCCTGGGAAGCCCTAGGTCTTGTTATTATTCCTATTTTAAAGATGAATAAACTGAGGCTTAGGTTACAAAATGCATCCAGCATCATTTCTGTGATTTTTTTCATTAATTTTTTTGGAGTACAGTTGCTTTGCAATGTTGTGTTAGTTTCTGCTGTACAGCAAAGGGAATCAGCTGTATGTACACATATATCCCCTCTTTTTTGGATTTCCTTTCATTGAGGTCACCACAGAGCACTGTGCACGGTTCCCTGGGTATACAGTAGGTTCTCATTAGTTACCTATTTTAACCACATACGGTATATATGTCAATCCCAATCTCCGAATTTATCCCACCTCTCTTCCCCCACCTGGTATCCATACATTTGTCCTGAACATCTGTGACTCTATTCCTGCTTTGCAGATAGGTTCATCTGTATAATTTTTCTAGATTCCACATACACATTATATTATATGATACTTGTTTTTCTCTTTCTGACTTACTTCATTCTATATGATAGCCTCTGGGTCCATCCACATCTCTGCAAATGGCACAGTTTTGTTCCTTTTTAGGGCTGAGTAATATTCCATTGTGTATATGTACCACATCTTCTTTATCCATCTCCTCTTGGACATAAATCACAGCAAGATCTTTTTTTGACCCACCTCCTTGAGTAACGAAAATTAAAAAAAAAAATTAAACAAATGGGACCAAATTAAACTTAAAGACTTTTGCACAGCAAAGGAAGCCATAAGATGAAAAGACAACTCTCTGAATGGGAGAAAATATTTGCAAGCAAGTTAACTGATGATGCAGACGGTAAAGTGTCTGCCTACCATGTGGGAGACCCAGGTTCAATCCCTGGGTCGGGAAGATCTCCTGGAGAAGGAAATGGCAACTGACTCCAGTATTCTTGCCTGGAAAATCCCATGGATGGAGGAATCTTGTGGGTTACAGTCCATGGGGTTGCAAAGAGTTGGTTTCACTTTCACTTTCTTTAACTGACAAGGGATTATTCTCCAAAATATACAAATAGCTCATGCATCTCAGTATCAAAAAAAACAACCAACCCAACCAGAAAATGGTAGGGTGTGAATTTAAATGCAGGCCTCCTGGCTTATGAGGACTGCTTTGACTTATGTGCAAGCATAATAAATAATGCATATTCCCTTCCTCTCTCTGAATACTCTTTAGCAATCAAAACAATTCTAATTCTTTCCAATTATGAAGCGTTTTGATTAACCTCTTAACCCTAAACCCTTTAAATCCTTATTAAAAAGTGGCCACTTTGGGATTTCTCTGGCAGTCTTACTTTATTTTTGGCTTCTTTGGTCACTCAGGTGGTAAAGAATCTGCCTGCAAGGCAGAAGACCTGGGTTCAATCCCTGGGTTGGGAGGATCCCCTGGAGAAGGGAATGGCAAACCACTTCGGTATTCTTGCCTGGACATGGACAGAGGAGCCTGGTGGGCTACAGTCCATGGGGTTGCAAAGAGTCAGACACAATTGAGCAAGTAAGCATGCACTTGGGGACTTCTCTGGCAGTCCACTGGTTAAGACTCTGTGCTTCAAATCCAGGGAGTGCAGGTTTGATCCCTGGTCAGGGAACTAAGATCCCACCTGCTCACAGTGAACTCCAAACAAAAAAAAAAATTATTTTTAATTATTAAAGGAGCTGGCCACTTTTTCATTGCATCAGTGTCTACAAAAAGTATGGGTAAACATAGAGCCATGTAGACTTCCTCTCTCTGAAGCCAAGCACCAGAAGCAAAGTCTAGAAAATTGAACCTGGTTAAATCCCTTCTCCCCTATGGAGTCAGGAGCAGGTCAGGGCTTATCTGTCAAGTGCCCACTGCCCCCTGGGAGATGATCAGCATGGGACTCAGAGAGGTTAACTAGCTTGCCCAAAGCTGCATAGCTAAGTTATGTGTTTCAAAGAGGATTTGCACCCAGATCTGGGCCAGTAGAAGCCTGACCTTTTCCACTCCGTCAGATGATGTCCATGATTTGAAGACATGCTCTGTGCCCAGGAAAGATGAAGGAATATAACGAAAAAATAAAACTGGGCAGAGGTACTATTGTCTACAATATAGGAGCTCAGATCCTGGAGTAAGACCTGATTTCATCTCCCAGCTGAGTACAAAGGAGGGGAGAAATTGTGGATCTAAGAGTCACTGTAAGGACTCAGTTACTATAAGAAACAGCAAGTTTGGGCAATCGAGAAAAGAAAGATGGAGGAAGCATAATTGATGGCTCCAGTATTTTTCTACGATGTTCACCCTAGCATGTGTGTGTGTGTGTGTGTGTGTGTGTGTGTGTGTGGTTTGTGTATGTAATTTCTTACTCAGTCCCAATGTTTGCACTAACTTGCATCCCTCTGAAGGGCTATTTTTTTTTTCCAGAATAAGGGAGGTGGGCAAGAGGGACCAGGAGCAAAGGCCGACCTGGGCTTTCAGATGTGTTTGCATCCCCCGTTTCACCAATTACTTACCTCTCTTTCTCCTCCACCTCCTTCTTTGCAGGAGTTTGTTCATCTGGCAAAGAGACTGGTGAGCGATCCCGCATTAGAAAAAAAAATCGTGGCCAACGGAAGGGAGTACGTGAGAAAGTATCATTCGTGGCAGGAGGAGAGACAGACCTACAGGCAGCTGGTCAGGACACTGGAGAGAAACACTGGGGACTAAGAGTACCTGTCTGATGCTGTGAGATGCTCAGCCGTGGGCGGATACCCTTGCACAGAGCTCTGGGCGGGGGGCCTGGCCAGTACAAACCAAGCCTGGTTCACTGGAATCGTAGATCTTTCAGTCATAAGACAATTCATCCAAAATCTCTCTGTGCTTCCAAGTAACATCCCAGATGTGCTTCTGGATCATACCTCATGGAGATGCAGTCCTCACTGGGGTGGGGGCAGGGCCACTGGTTTTAAGGGGAGTCAGGGAGAGAGTTGGAATAGCTGCTTTAGGACGTTCCTAGGGACAACAAGGACTTATTTTGTAAGCCCTCACAGGGTAGACATCGCTCTCCTGTCTTCTGATGACCTGTAGCCCATCCCTGCCTGCTCAAGGAGCAAAAGCAAACATCTGACACGTCGGCTGAGAGGCTCCTGGCAGCGATTTTTGACATGGTACAGACCCTGCAGCCAATCTGGGGCTGACAGACGTCTGGCTGCACCCCCAGGCCCTACAGGTTTGCTTCCTTGAACACCGGAAGCAGGGCTGTGTGTAATCAGTCGTGTAACTGTAAGATAGCCCGGACCTCTCTAGATAAGCAGGCAGCACCACCCCCACTTCCCCACCCTCTAGGCTCCACCTACCTCTGGTCAAATTGGGGTGGAAAATCAGTTGGCGCTAAGGCCGCATCACCCATGGCCTGCAAGATGCTGGGACTGACTCTGGGTTCAGCATCATGCACTCAGCCTCAGAGACCCAGCAGTGAGTGGAGATGAAGTCACCAGCCTCCAGCCCATCTCAGGACCGGCACATGGGTCCCAGTGACCTCATCCAGCACGGGGCGAGTTTAACCAAGTGTCGCCATCACTGACCACACCAGGGGCACCCCCAAACCCAGTGCTTCTTTTCCTCAGTGGCGGCATTTGCCTCTGTTGGATCCTGAAACCCCCTCTTTCCAGTGGACATTCCGTGATGACTGGGGGGTGACACGCTCCGTTTCTTGTGTAAAGTTGGAAGCCACAGGATCCGAAGGAGGAGAGGAAGCCAGATCTGAGTCCATCCAAGAAAGTGTTTCCTTAGGGCTTGTTCTGATGCCCGCAGACCCTGGAGGGGTCAGGAAGACCCGTGCCATCTTTGCTTCAAACTTCACAACATCTTGGGCTTTTTTCTTTCCAACCATCCTGTTTAATAAACAGCCAAACCTAAAAGAAGAAGGCTCTGACTGAACACCTTAAACCCTGGTGCTGATGACATGGAGATGAGAACAGCATATTTATAGATTCTGTCCCATATCACTCCCAGTTTAATTATACACCTCAATCTCACAACAGAGTACCTTCCCAAAGGCAGTTATCTGGTAAACCTGCTCCTCATGCCCAGGATTCTCTAAAAATACCCATCACCATCCTCCTCCTTTTTTTTTTTTTGGTGGCATCTGAGGGTCACAAGAGTTGGGGCTCCCCTATGGCCATAGAGAAGAGAGGAAGGGAGAAACAGAGTCCAAACCCCTAGTGGACAGATCCATCTGAATCTGGAATCAGTGATGTCAACCTAAGAAAAGGCCAAGTGTTGTCATGGGCACTGACCAGGGATGCTGCTGTTGATAAAATACTGGTCACTGGAAGTCTCTGCTCTCATCCTGGTTGAATGATATTGTATGTGCTTGGCTCTACTGAACCTCAGCGTGTTGTTCATCCATCTCTTTATAGAAACATACACACATGCCTCATGCCCTTTGGAGAAGGGCATGTTTTTAAATGAATAAAGTGTCACCGTCCGCTGTCCAGCAAGAGTCCCTGTGTGTTCCTTTTGTGAGCCTGGTTCGGCAAGAACCAGACCCACCCCACCCTCCAGTTCCTGCACTTTAAAAGCAGATATTAGTCCACTGACGCATCTCATTAAGAGGGGTTTAAGATGCAGTTGCTATTTTAATACCAAAGTATAGACGTAAAAAGAATGCTTTTCTGTAAATGTTCTAGATGCTCTCAGTTTCATACTCCGTTAACTTTATGTTTAAACATTTTGCATATAGTTTCCAATTTGCTGATGTACAGGTTTGGATGACTCAACGAGTCAATTTCCAGATAGAACTAAGATACTGTAACCTTCACACGCAGAGGGAAATTGCATTTAACGCAGCACAGTGCTTTAGCACAGTTCTTTAGCAAAGAGGCACTGCTCGTACCTGACTTGCAATTGGTGTGATGAGCTGGCTGGCGCTCACCGCTTCTGCCAGAAGAGCCCTCCACACCCCTTCCCCACACTTTTGCAATGAGCTTAAATAGGATAGCTTTGTTTTGATCTGAAAGGTTCATCAGGTATCTTCAGGTTTCCAAAGGCAGACTGTGCAGGCTCTCCATGCAGATGGGAATGGGTTGTCCACATGGTGCCTTGAGCACCTTTTAGACTGGAATGTGCCACTAGCTGGTCTCTGTTCTGATGGCTTCCCTTACTGTGGCTCAGATGCTAAAGAGTCCGCCTGCAATGCAGGAGACTGGGTTCGATCCCTGGGTCAGAAAGATCCCCTGAGAAGGCAATGGCCACTCACTCCAGTGTTCTTGCCTGAGGAATGCTGTAGACAGAGCACGACAGAGTGACTCACACACTCACACACACTATCAGTTAAGGATGGGATTTGGAAATCCTTTGTACTCTCAGCCAGCATGTGGCTTCAAGTGTTCGTTACATTTCTGTGTCATCTTCAGTAACTATACTTGGCACAGCTGCATCAACTCTTCCCTAGAAGTTTCCTGGTGCTTGACCTTGCACTTCGTTAATTGCAACCTGTTAGGAGATGGAGAGAGCCAGCTCTGGTCCTCTTCCTCCTCCCACCTCTCTCCCCTCCCCCTTTCACGTGCATCTCCCATACCCCACCCTCCCACCTCCCTTCCCCTTTCTGATCCGGTCTCCTCTTGGAGAGTCAGGAGCCTGATGTGGGAATGACACACAGGAAGTCCTCCCCAGCCAAAGCCAGCCCTCACCAGGGAGGCCAGGTAGTAAAAGCAGCAGTTCCCCAGCTTCAGCTTTTATTTTTAATTTAATTTAATTTTTAAAAGTAATTTCATTTATTTATTTTTGGCTCTTGCTGCACAGGCTTTTCTCTAGTTGCAGAGTGTGGGCTTCTCCTTGTGATGGCTTCTCTTGCTGCAGAGCACAGATGCTAGGGCATGCGGGCTTCAGTAGCTGTGGCTTCCAGGCTCTAGAGCACAGGCTCAATAGTTGCAGCGCATGGGCTTAGTTGCCCTGCAGAATGTGGAATCTTTCCAGGGCAGGGATCGAACCTGTGTCCCCTGCATTGGCAGGCAAATTCTTAACCACTGGACCACCAGAGAAGTCCCCTGTTTCACTTTGAAAACTCCTGATGCTTGGGCTGCCTCTCAGACTGATTACATCAGAGTCTTGGGGGCGGAGGCACCCAGGCCCCGAAGTTTCCCTGATCCAATGTGCAGCCACAAGGGACAAGGACTGACTGAAAACATCCGCTTGAATATGGACCAGAATTTCAGGGAAAACAAGGACCATCGAAGTAAAGGGTGTTTGTGACTTTGTATTCAAAAACTGAATCCCAGCATTAAGAACATAGAGTCCATTTGTCTAATGTTTACTAAGATTTATTTCTGCAGATAGAATTGAAACTCTCAGCGCAGTGCCAAGAAATATTTCACACAAACAAATAAACAAAACCCATCCACTGGGACTTCATCAATATTCCTCTGAGCTTCTTTTCTTCCTTCGATGTTGTGGTTTTCTTTTGCAATGCCTGCCCTGTCATCATCCTTAAGTCACTCATTACCTGGTCCCATCCTGCCAGAGCCTCCTTTTCCTGGGTTTTAGGTAATTTTCCAGCATCCATTTCAGGAAAATATTGCATCTTCTGCAAGGTTCGCTATTTCACTTTTTAGCTGACTTACACTGTGTTGACATTTAAACATGTTGAATGTGGAACCATCATTAAGAGGGGCCAACTCTATCCTGGGTATGTGGAATGGAAGGGTATTATTTAGAATTAACATTTGGGTATGACTGACAGAAAATCCAAAATAATAGTGGCTTAAGCAGAAGAGAAATATATTTTTATCTATCAAGTAAAGAGAGTAGTTCAGCTCAGATTGTGCTTCCCAGGGTCAGGGACCTTCCATCCTCAGTAGGTGTTCATCTCCAACCCCATGGTGTAAGGTGGATGCCCAAGCACTGCCATCATGCCTGAATTCCAAGCTGCAGGAAGATGGAAAGTGGGAGCAAAGATTTATCTCTTCCCTGTCAGGAAAATTCCTGTTTCTAATTATACTATGCCCACATCCCATTTTAAGGGGAGCTTAGCATTGCAGTCTTTTCTCCCAGCAACTGTGTGCCCAGGTAAAAACCAAGGGTCTACTATTGAGACTTCCCTGGTTTTCCAATGACTAAGACTCTGTGCTCCCAATGTAGGGGGTTTAGGTTCGATCCTGGTTCAGGGACTAGAACCCACACGCTGCAACTAAGACTCAGGGCAGCCAAATAACTAAATGAAGTTAAAAGCAAAACAAAACAAAATAATGATCTACAATCAAAAGAGAAGGGGATGAACAACCAGAGCAGACTATCATAGAGCTATGGGACAATTTCAAAAAGTGTAACATGCATAATGAGAATGCCAGAAGGAAAAGAGAGAAACAGAAGAAATATTTGAAACAATAACTTCGATAGTTCTCCAAGATCAAGGTCAGACACCAAACCACAGATTCAGTAAACTGAGAAATCATCAAGAAAGATAAATGCCAGAAAAATATACATGTAAGCTTAATACATTCAAACTACAGAAGGTCAAAAATAAAGAAAAAAAACCTTGAAAGAAGTCATAGGGGGAAAAAAACCCCCACTTATGTAGAGAGGAAAAAATTTATAAGAATTATATCTGACTTCTATGGAACCAGAAAACAAGATGAGAGTGGAGTGAAATATTTAAAGTTTTTTAAAAAGAAAGAGGGACTTCCCTGATGGTGCAGTGGTTAAGAATCCACCTTCCATCTAGAAAG